GGGGGGGGTGTGCTGCTGGGCAGAGCGGGCTGCCACTGCCACCCTGGGGACGGGCTTCGCGGGGGACGGCCGTGTGCGCTCGTAGGCGTGATTTGGGAAGGCTGGAGCGGGCTGGTGAGCCCTCAGAGCAGCGCTTGCACTGACAGAGCCGAAAATGCCCCGGAACATCTCCGGTCCGTGCCCGCCGCCAAGTCCGCTTGGGCTGAAACGGGGTTTGGCCTGTGTAGATGAGCTGGTCCGTATGACCGTCGCCGTAAAGTCGGTGATCCGTCCCGGGTTTCAAAGTCCGCTGTCCCTTTAATGTCTGGTTTGACAGCTTTGGGTGAGGAAGCACTTCCAACAGCTGTCTTCTTGGCAGGGCACCAAGCGCCGGCTTAAAGGGACCCCGGCTGGAGCAGCTTCACCTTCTGCCTTAGAACAAACCCAGCGATTGTTTCGTTTTCCGGCTGCTTTTCTGCCGAGCAAGGGCTGTGTTGTGACACTGTGCATGCCTTTTGTACGGCAGCTCTATGATTCCGTTCAAAATACATACATTCCGTCTAAAAACTCTTTCCTGCCCCTGCCATTATGTGGGTGGTAGCCCCACTTCGATTGAAAATTACAAGTGTTTTAAAAAAACACAACTCATTAAACTTATTAAACTTTCAGAAATCACTGTTCTTCAGTCATTTCATGTATATTACACAGTTTTCCAGATCTATATCTGGCTACAGATGGTGGGCACACCCTGTTTTCGCCATCAGTTATTTCATTGCAGCTTTTACTCTACATAGTGTTGTCAATAAACGCATCTGGGTTGATACTTGTTCAGAGTATTTTCTGTGAGAATAACGTCTGTTTTATTTTCCATTGTCTGTTACCAAAAGATGACGAGGATGAGGAGGAAGAGGATGAAGAAGAAGAAATAGATGTTGTGACTGTGGAGAAAAGACGCTCCTCCTCCAACAAGGCTGTTACCACCCTTACTATTACAGTGCGTCCTAAAAATACCACTTTTCCATCGGTCAGGACACAGCAGAATGAACTGATTTTAAAGCGTTGCGCACCAATTCACCAGCAGCATAATTATGCCGCTCCTTCTCCATACATGGAGAGTGAAGATGCTCCGCCGCAGAAAAAGTTAAAAACCGAGGTGCCCCGTCCAGTAAAACCCACGATCCAGCCAAAGCCTAAGAGTTCAAGTCCTCGAAACTCTGATTCAGAGGATAGCGAACGTCGACGTAACCATAATATCCTGGAGCGTCAACGGCGTAATGATCTACGGTCAAGTTTCCTAACACTAAGGGACCATGTTCCAGAACTGGTTAAAAATGAGAAAGCTGCAAAAGTTGTGATCTTGAAAAAAGCCACTGAATATGTTCATTCCCTTCAGGCAGAGGAGCAGAAGTTATTGCTAGAAAAGGAAAAATTGCAAGCCAGACAACAACAATTGCTAAAGAAAATAGAATACAAGCGGACTTGCTAAACTTTGTTTTGTTTTGTTTTGTTTTGGCTGACCAGGACAGTCATTGCCACTTTGCACATTTTTGATTCTTTAAAAAAAATTGTGTTTTTGACGTTAAGAATGTTGGTTTTACTTTCAATCCAGTCCCTGAAGTAATCAACAAACTATATTATCCGGGTACGGAGCAAATGGATGTTCTTGCAAGGAGTTTATTGCAAGACTACCAAACAACAATGGACTGCCTTTGTTTTTCTTCTTAAGAACTGTAGATGGTGGGGATTTTTTTTTTTTTTAAATTGTTGTGAGCATTTGGAGCTGCTGATGACATCTAGTTGAGTTTTAAAACGTTCATTCCTAAGTTTTATGGTGCTTATGTTCTAACAGATGTTACTTTAGGGGTTGGCATTTGTACCCCTGTGGGAATTTTCTGTAAATACCATCTACACACTTGCCTTTTGTACATGTCTTGGGTTATGAGAGGTGGCTTTTGCTACCAGTATTAGACTGGAAGTTCATACCTAAGTACTGTAATACCTCAATGTTTGAGGAGCATGTTTTTGTATACAAATATATTGTTAATCTCTGTTATGTACTGTACTAATTCTTACATTGCCTGTATACTTTAGTATGATGCTGATACATAACTAAATTTGATACTTATATTTTCGTATGAAAATGAGTTGTGAAAGTTTTGAGTAGATATTACTTTATCACTTTTTTGAACTAAGAAACTTTTGTAAAGAAATTTACTATATATGCCTTTTCCTAGCCTGTTTCTTCCAGTTAATGTATTTGTTAATGTTTGGTGCATAGAACTGGGTAACTGCAAAGTTCTGTGTTTAATTTCTTCCAACGATGTACATTTAGTGCTGCGTCTTATAGCACTTTGAAATACCTCATGTTTATGAAAATAAATAGCAATTACATGATGTGCCATTTACTATTTTTCTTTTAAATTAAGTTCTTTTAAATAAAATCTCTAACTTCGCAATGTTCGTGAAATACAAAAGCATGGTCCCATATCCTGGGCACTTAAACTCTCAAACTATAGGTGATGCTCTATGAAAAGTCAGCCAGGCAGGACATTTCCCTTTCTGGTTAAAAAGTAATTGTAGTAAGAACAATTTTCCTATACTTTCATACTTGAGATGTCTCCTGAGATGTCAGGATCATCCCGGGGGACTGAACATACCACAGTTAATGGAAAGACTCCTGTGTCTTGTGAAGACTTCTGGAATGTCCACTGTATGCAGAGAATTGTGAGGGATCAGAAACACAGCTAGCATCCTCCTGCTAAGGGACTGGCTTCAGTGTGGTAGGCAGGTGGAGAGGTAAATGATGGAGGTACACTTTGCTACAGCACAAAAAATGCAGTATTTGTAGCAATCAAAGATCTTATTTGACTGCTGTTCTTAGTTGGATTACAAAAGGCTTCTCCTAAAAGCAGTCCATCATTGCATAGGAGAATTAATGTTCTTGTTTGTAGCTGAAGATCCTGTTTGTTACTACTTGTGCTAAGTTAGTAAAATTAAAAATCCCAGGGAAGATACAGTTCTGAGGTACGGAGAGCTGTGAATCGTGCATCAAATGGCATGTAGTCTGAACAATGAAACTTGGCAGGTCGTTGTCTCAAGAGGTGTGATGGCATTTGGTGTGATGGGAACAAGACTTTTAAGTCTGTGAAATATGTTTGGTCATTTTGGTAAGCTTGAGACCAAGGAGTTGTTTTATTTTCCAGTCTGTGCAGGTATTTCTGATCTCTTTCCCCAGACTGAACCTGAAAAGTAAGGTATGGATTAATGACCAAGTGGCCAGCAAGTAGCTTAAGGATCAACTTGCAAGGAGCTAGTCTGGGACGTCTGCCTCTACTTCAGCCACGAAGGAAGTAACTTGCTTGGTGATTGAGGTACAGAACATCTCATATTTGCCATGAAGTAACAGAGATTAAAAGCAGTATGGGAACAAAATCGCCACAGTAATGGATGTGCCATATGTCCATGCCATACAGTGGCTGGTTGGTGTACCTGTAACCTGTGCATTCTTGGGCCCCAGCCAGCTTCTGCAGCAAGAACATTGGGAATTGTACTTAGTAATCTTACAGTGCAGTAAATCCAGATCCTGGGCAGGCACGAATTGGTGTAACACCGTTTAGATTCAGCTAGGCCTACACAAGGTTATGCCATGTGAAGAATTGGCCTGAATAGACTTAATATCTTCTAAATTCAGACTTGAGGACCACAGTCATTCCATAAATAGAATCCTTGTTTTCATTCCCTTGATGTGGACTTGATCATGCTGCTGCTACTTTCCCAGTACTGTGAAAAAACAATAAAAAGACAAAGCCTAAGCAGAGACGATTGGTGTGGACAATCACAGGGTACATTTAATTTTACTAGCTACAACAAACAATTTTCAAACCCCATTTTATTAGCATTTTTTTGTTGAACTGCAGTTGTACTGTTTTCACACATGGTACAAGTCACATGAGTGACTTGAAGGAGAAAGCTTTTCAAACATCCACTGTATTGTCTTTCTAACCTGTGCCTGCTTGACTTCCAACAAGGGCTTCTTAACATGAGTTTACAGTTAGACTTAGTATAACATTAAAAAAAAAAGTAACAGCTGTATACTGGCCCAGTACTTTCCTAGCAGATGCAAATCATATTCTGAACAAAAATAAATCACAGAATGATGTGTCACTGTCTCTTTACGGTCTAGGAATGTACTGTCTGAGGACTGAACATGCAAAATTGAACAGAGATTCCCTTCCCCTTCCCCTTTCTCGTGGAGAACATCTGGTCCAAATCCTCCACTCAGAGGAGGGCCAAATTCTAGGTCAGAACAGGTTGATCAGGGTTGTACGCAGCCAAGGTTTGAATGTCTTCAGGGATGGAGATTCCACAGCCTTGCCGGACAACACATTTCTTTGTTTGACTACCGTGACTGACACAAATTTTCCTGCTATCTGTTTGGAATTTTCCTTGTTGCAACCCCTGCTCATTGCCTCCTGTCTTTTTGTGTTTAACCTCCCAGAAGAGTCTGGCTCCACCTTCCGTGTAACCTCCCATTAGGTAGTTGAAGGCAGCAATTACTTCTTTCTCTTCCTGAGACAACCCAGTTCTGTCTTGTATTGTTGTGGTATCCAAGCATTTAGAGTATAATAGAGGTGTCAAATACTCAGATTTGTTTGGATATTCAACACAAATCCCATTTGAAAGCCTCTTTTTCAGTGTGGGAGTCTTGGCCTGATATTTTTTAATTCAGTGAAAACGTCCACCTGATGTCAATGGAGATAGAATCAGGCCCCATACGGTTCAGAAATGCCCCCATACACTGTACTGTTTGCTGCTATATGCTGTGCTACCAGTACTTTGGGTCTGTGTTTTTTTTCTGTTAAATAACTTTCAGGAGTTAATAGGTTTGTTTTCATACTGTTGCTGTAGGGAGCAACTTGTCAAGTACCAATGTTTTTGTAAACAAAATTCTCAGTTGTAGGATGTTATTAAGTTACAATTGTTAAATAGAAGATAGTGGGTTTCAATTCTTTTATATTTACACGATAAAAAGAATTGAGAGGTTTAGGAAAGATAGCTTTTGAAAAGCAGAGGTAAACAATTCATTTAGTAATATTTTCTGATGAACCAGTACCCAGCAGGGTACATAGACAAGGACATAGAGACATAGGAACAACAGTAACAGAAGATCCTTCTGCCTTCCTATCTAGAGTGAAGAGTCCATAAGGAATCAGTCAAATAATGAATTGAGACACTATTCCTTTTTTTAATATACATGCCTACATTTGCATAACAAATGCAAACATATCTGCCTAGAGAATCTGTTAGAAAATGTGGCAAGTACCTAATAACTGCTTATTAAAAAGCAGGTATTGCTGATTCCTGAAGGGAAAACTGAATTAGATTAATTGCAATCATCTTATCTACTCTGCTATAAAAATTCCCAAGTTCTTTTTCATACAAGACAGAATCTGCTGATGGAATCAGATGGTTTCCTCCCAAATCCCAGAGGATGGTCTCCTTCCACTTCTCTGTTTATTTGCTTAAAAATACCACTAAGAACACAAGGGACTTGAAACGCCAAAATGAAATGATTCCTCCATAAACTAGTATAAGTAAAACACCAGCGGGAGAGCTTAAAAAGGTGAAATGTGTTAATGATGTCATTACCACTAGGTCACCTGGTGCCATGAGTGTGAAGGAAAGTGCATTTCTCAAACCCCAAGCTGCTGTTATAGCAACTTATCACCAGGTCTTGGCAAGACTGCTTGAGATTTCATGATGTGTATAATTTGCAGAGGGCACATTTGCTCCTGGTAAGGATACTGATAAACCAAGCTAGAATAAAATGACTTTAAAAGGATCCCATTCTTAAGCCTGAATTTCCTGGCTTGTGGCTGGTTTAAATCAGAAGATTTAATTTTATTTAAAGTTTTAAGTTCGAGATCATGAATTTAATGACTTTTTTATGTACCATGTTGTTTATCACACTCTTGGCAAATGCTTCATGATTTATACCTAGGTTCCATTCTTTTCCTTGTCTCCATTCCCCCTGTCCTTTTTCCCCTTCCCCTTCCTCTTTCTCTTCCCCTTTATACCTAAACTACATGTGGTGTCTCTTCTCTCAGGAGCCCAAAGCCATCAAACTTAAAGGGATTTGAGGTGTCACAACAACCCCTTTAAAGTAAGCAGGGATTTCAGTAGAAACAGGAGATAGGCAACACTTCCAGGAATCTCACAGGAATGGTGAGAATGGTGCAAAACGTGGAAGAGAAGCTGATTGTAGGGCCAGCCCAGCGGTTTTTGCCCCAGCACTTCTGGCTAGCACTGGAGCATTGAGAAGCAGAGCACCAGCTTGCCTCAGCAATTGCCTGAATCCAGAGCCCTTGGTCTGTGCCCAGACAAGCTTTCACTTCTGCTGGGCTACCTTTTCCAATCTGCCACCACACACTAGTTTTTGCTGCCTGTCTCCTTCTGCTGACCCTGCAAACCGGCATTTTGTTGTTAGGTTGCATGAGATGGTAATTTCCCCTGCCTGCAGATCTGCGATTCTCATCCAGCTTTGTGCCCCTTAGAGGGCCAGATCCTTCTTTCAGTGAGATTAGTTAGATATATATTTGATCAACAGTCAACTCAGAGGAAATAAAATGAATTCTTGATCTTTGAGCTGTGAAGACTCCTTGTATGTATGCTGTATGTATAGACTAACATAGATGCTGCATGCACACAAGGGATTCCATATGTGTTGATTCATGAACCCTGCTAAATAAAGCCCTGCTAAAGGGTGTATTTTAACAGAGTAAGTAACAAGACTGTCTACTTGATCCTTTGAAGAAAAAGCAAACGAAGGTATTTTGTTTCCTGTGTTTATGATTACAATATGAGGCATATACATAACGCAGAAATGCAAAAAAAAAAAAAAGTACCTACAAAGTAAGTACAATTAATGGCAAGTATTTTTTTAACTCCATGATGAAATGGGTGGGTGGGTAGACTTAGCAGACTTAAAATTTATCAGACTCATAACTGAATTATGGCCTATTTGTTACTGATCTCTGAACTGTTGAGTTACATTTCGTATGCTTAATCATTGTTAGGCTCCATATATACTATTACAGCTGCACTATTTGTGAGCTATATAATTTGCCATGATATAGTTCGTCCATCTGACATTGTTTAGGTAAGTGGAGACATTTTTGGTTTACGGTAAAATAAGATTATTTCTTTTTTCTTATTCTATGCTCCCAATTTCCCAGTCTCATTTGTCTGCTTTAAGTATTTACTGCTTTCTATCTTCTGTACTGCATGCATTTAGGGAGACGAACTGTCTTCTATGATATCTGTCTGAAGCTGAGGTTAGCTTATGTTCCTGTGAGTTGCTATATCAATCATTACAAAACTATGACAAGAGTCCTGTTG